TCTCATATTCAAAATAATCTCATAATAAAAATATCATTAGTCAAAGTTGATTGTCATTGACCAAGAAAAGTCAATTTGACAAACCTTTTTGGGACATAGGGAGTATGTGTTATTGCCGCCTTAATATACAATTAAACATGGATATTGAGCTGGTGATGTGATGCAAGTCTAAGTATTTGTTGAATACCAAATGTACGAGAAACTAAATTTAAAAATATTCTGGAAAATAATATTATAAGATTAAAATGATTTTGGTGATATATGACCCAATAATAGGTGCAATTTAATTTGGAAACCGACTTCTTTATTGACACAAAAGCCTGAGGGACTAAATAAAATGCTTATAAAAACACTAATGCATAAGATTAATTATACTTAGAAAATAATGTTATAAAAAAGAAACATATAAAACATAATAATGCACTATAGTTAGCTAGTACCGGGATTATAAAACCAAACACCTAAAGGTGTAGAAGAATAAGAACTTAGATCGAGTAAATTAGAATGAGTGCATAATTATATAGTGGAAAATTGAACAATTATAATTTAGGGAAAGTTCCCGAAATGGGACTAAAAAGTTTGAAAATTCCAAAATAGGACTGTCATGTTTTTATTCCCAAAATAGGACTAATTACTGCCAAATTTGGAAAATATTGCCATGTTTGAAGTCTGGTACTGCCAAAACATGAGAGTAATTAGTCCTATTTTGGGAATAAAAACATGGAAGTCCTATTTTGGAATTTCCAAACTTTTTTAGTCCCATTTTGGGTAATATCTCTTATAATTTACTAACAATGCGACACTTCACTCAAACATAAAAAAGTTCTCATTACTTAGAAACACCATATATATATGTGTGTTTAAAAGGGAATATTGTTTTATCCTTAGTCAACATTTCAAATACATTTAGATAATTTGACTTTGGAATTTGAGAATTGTACTAAGTAAATCACTACAGCAAGATTCAAAAAGTATTTAAATGACATTGAAAGAAAGACTCAAAAAGTATTTAAATGACATTGAAAGAAAGACTCAAAAAGTATTCAAAAGAAATTGAAAGAAATAAAAATTAATTACTCAAAAAATGTGCCTCTAAAAAAATGGTTTTTTTCTCATACCTCTAAAAAATGGTTGAATCTGTTAAGTTTAACCTTCTACTTAGTGGTAACCGTGCTTTTCTAAAATTAAACGAAGTAGGGGCATTTAAACCCATGGAAAGAAGAAGTACAATCATTTAATAAAAATATATGCTTATAATAGGTGGACTTAATTCAAGGGTGTTTACTCACATTCACAATTATAATGTTTTAGATTAGATTTAGATATTTACATTTTTTATCAAAAAATATATTTTGATAAAGTTTGTGTAGTTCTAAATCATTCTTACTTTATCAATTCAATATCAACTACAAAAATTCATTTTTCTTAATAACCGCACAATATCAATTCTTACTTTATCTTTCCTCATGTCACAACAGTAGTGAGATGGGCGTAATAATACGGAGTAATACTTTAAGAGCCCGCTTGATGACCATATTTTTCGGCGTATAGGGCTTATCAGCCATTTTTCCACGGGAAAAAGGGCAAATTAGCCACTATGGTAGTAATAAAAATGCAAATAGGACACTAACCTTTTTTAGGTGCAAATTAAATAACATTACATTGGATACCTAATTGGCATTCTAGCCACTCACTAATATAAGGAACAAACGGAGGTAACTTAATTGACGCCAACAACGAAATTTAGGTTGATATCATTGCTTGAAGGCTATTAATAATCATGAAGCAATTGAGACCAATAACTAAACTAGACATTGATTTCAAATGAAGGAATTTTATATTCATATTCATAATATAAATAAATTACATAATTATAGTATAACCTTATTTATATTCTTTAGTACCTAATAGATTATACCAATTAGCCCTTTAATTATATGACAATGAATTGGAGTAACAGTGGTTTTGCTAAATTTTATGAGCTTAAATAGGTGTGGGCAAATGGGTACAAGAACCGCATGTCGAGTTGGGTAATACATGTTTGAAGCGGATCTTAAAAAATTTAGGAATCGAACGGGTCTCAAAACATTTAGAAATCGAACATGTCTTAAAATTTGAACAAACTTGCGATTCTATTAAAAAGAGTTTCAAAGTCCATACGAACTCCTAAATTATGATTTTTTTTTTAAATAAAAACTCTTATTCAATGAAGTGTGACATATTCATTTAATTATCTTAAATTACCTTACATTTTGAGATTTACTAATTAAGTCTTAAATTGTGCTATTAGACATATATGTATTTTTTTTTACCCCAAGGGGTCTAGGGATCCTGGAGTAAATTAGGTTGAAACTCACTCCATTGAGTTTCGAACCCGAAACCTCCCATAGAGGAGAGTGAGTCGACAACCAGCTGAGCTGAACCGCTTCCTATGACATATGAAGTATATGATATATGCATAATTACTATCTAGTTTAATTTCGCAAGACCTTATATTATGGGTGCTACTTTTTTAGTTTATGGATGATGATGATGTCTAATTTTCTACACTTTAAATTTTGGTGTTACTTACTTTATGTGTGGTTGTGTGCTACTCAAAGTATAAATTTGCAGTTAGATATTTTGTTAACTAATTCAAATTTTTGTTTTATATTTGTATTTTAAGGTTTTAGTGGTGACATTGACACTTAATTAGCTTGAGATTGTTATTATTTACTCAACATTTTGCTACCGTAACTGTACTTTTTAACAACAAAAAAAGAACCAAAATTTGGTATACCCGAACCGCACTAACTCGTAAAATGGAACTAACAACAACATCCAAGGCTTAATAGATACCAACGATTCATGAAAATTTATCAATTATCCAGACCACTTCGGAGTCCGGACTATGCTCACCCTTAAATTGCATTAAGATAAATAGAGTTCCATTGCATTAAGATAAATAGAGCCATTTCAACACATGCTCATTTACGTTATTACCTCAAAAGGATTACGTACATCACTACACGATGGCTAATTTCTAGCTTTGGGGATCGAACCAAGCATTCCCATAATCTTAGGGATTTTAAAAAATAAGGAGATGTAACATGAGGAAACAAATTCGAGTCTAGTATCATAATAATATAAGGAGCTCCGTTTTAATGTGTTTGATGTCTTTTGTTAGTGAGTGACAGGAATGCCTATTATCTATTGAATTTGATGCTATTTGCACCTAAAAAAGGATAGTGTTCCATTTGCACTTTTACTACTACCATAGTGCGTGATTTCCACCAAATACGTATACGTAACTTTCGATTTCGCGCGCTAATGTTATTCTTGATAGGATTACATCCATTTGTCGCATTTTTCTTTGGGGAAGCAAATTCGCTAGGGTTGCCTGGGCTGATATTTGCCTCCCTAAAGAAGAGGGTGGACTTGGCATACATGACACAAAAGTTTGGAATAAGGCTTTACTTTCAAAAACTTTTTGGGATATACATACAAAAAAGGACACACTTTGGGTCAAGTGGGTCCATGGGGTTTATCTCAAGGGTAGGTGTGTGTGGGAGTTTGTCCCACACGAAAGAGATTCACAATTGTTTAAAAAGATTGCACAAATCCGAGATGAAATACTCTCCAAATTCCAGGACATCCCGAGTGCTATACTTGGCTTAAATGCTTTTCAGATGAATGGTAAGCTTGTATCCTCCAAGGTTTATGATTTGCTTAGGCCTAGGGCTGCCACCCGTGTGTGGATGCCGTTTATTTGGAAAGATTACATCCCTCCCAAGTTTTCCTTTGTTACATGGTTGGCATTCCGTAACAGATTAGCCACGTGTGATAATCTTCATAGATTAGATGTGGATAATACTTGTGTATTGTGCAAGGGTGGACCGGAAACGGTTCCACACCTCTACTTTGAATGTCCTTTTTCAGGAAAAGTTTGGGCTATGATAAAAGCATGGATTGGCATTCCACGAATGATGGGGACCCTAGCTAGTGCGGTCAAATGGATCAAGAAGGAAAGGAGTGGAGCTAGTGTACGAGCCAAGGCTGCCAGGATTGCTTTCGTGTGCACCATATACTCGCTTTGGAGAGTCAGGAATGCAGCTCGATTTGATGATTTTTTGCCAAAGGAGGAGGAAGTTTTTGCCAGGATACAATATGTTGTCTATAAAATTCTGTATTGCATCTATCCTTATGATTTGGTAGTACTTTGATAACTTTCCGCCCATCACCTATTTTTGTTTGTGATAGGCCGTGAGGTAGTATAGGGAGGCTGCCATGGCACCCTTATTTTGGCAGGTGATGGGTTATCCAATCTTTGGATAGCCTACAGTTTTGCTCATATTTTTTTGCTGTACAGACGAACTATTGACGGTTTTTCTAATATACTTACATGTTATCGTCGATTTCGCGCGCTAAATTGTGTAATAATAATAAAAAGTAAGGTTGAAGTTATTTTTCTGGTTGTGTTGTCTGAAGCTACTAGAGAAAATCATTTTAGCTATTTTCTCATATACAATTTTTATATATATATATATTGTATTAATAAAAATATTTTAAATACGTAGTACTTAGTTTTGACCACTTTTGTCATTGTGACAATTTTTTGTTGGGAAAACTATCAAATAAGCCCTCGTACTATGCCGAAAAAGTCGATTAGGCCATCGTACTTTACAAACACTCAATTAAGTCTTCGAACTATTAAAAAACGTTCAATTAAGCCCTTTTGGTCGGTAAGTAACCGGTTTCCCGGTTAAACGGCGACGACGACGACGATGTGCTCGAACCTTAGCAACCGAGGCTACCGGGAAACGAGTGACATTTAACCGGGAAACCGGTTACTTACCGACCGAAAGGGCTTAATTGAACGTTTTTTAATAGTTTCAGGATTTAATTAAGCATTTGTAAAATACGACTAACTTCTTCGGTATAGTATGAGGTTTATTTGATAGTTTTGCATAATTGCATCTCCTACTGGCTACCGGTAGGACAACTCATCTGCACCATTCCTCTAATTTCTCAATACAAACATACTCCGTATGAACTACAACTAGGGAGTGTTATTCTAGTGAGAGAATAATCTCTCAGCTCCATTGTAAAGTCTCCACAACTATCTCTCTGTGACCTTTTTTTTCTCCGCTGTAAGTTCTAGCGATTTATGTATGTTAAAATTTGTATTTCTTGAATCTTGTTTAGTGAAGTGAACAAATATCAGTTCCATTGTTGCTTGGCCTATAAATAAATAAATAAATGTGGTTACTGCTTACAAGATTCTGAAGGGCAAGGAGGTGTTATTGGATATTTGTATAAAAGAAATTGGAAAAATGTTGGGTTCACAGATGTATGAGAAAAGCAGAAAATTTGGGTGGATTTTGAGGTCAAATCTCATGGTTCAGTGGTGGTTCAAGCTGTTGATTTTAGGGGTTTTTCTTGGAATCTTGATTGTATGGAATACTGATGGCTTGAGTTTTCATCTGGGGGCTTTGCAGAAAGATTTTTCTGTTCTGAAACTCAGTAATAGGTCTGCTAGCTTCATACCCACCTTCAAAGATTTTACCTTTACCAATGTTTCTCTGTTGCCCCTTTCTCCTCCTTCAAATCTCACCCAAACTTTTGAGAATCTAACTCACCCCCAGGATAATTTGGGTCCTCAAATCTCCAATTTAACTGGAAAAAATGAAAGCTTGGTCTTGACTGTGAAGAAAGATGAAGCTTTATTAGCAGAGCCTAGTCTGAGCTGGATATCTGCTGGATTAGAGGCAAACTATTCTTCAAATCTTCTTCAAAGATGGAAGATGGATTCAAGCGGCGAGCCATGTCGGCAATCAAAAACTGCGGATATATCAATTCCGGGTCTGGATGGTAGAACGGAAACGGGTATTGAATTGTCAACCGGGTACATTCATGATTTCATCTTCCAGGCTTTGGACGAGTCAGGTAAGCCGCACTGTTTAGGTGGCGATTATTTCGAGACCGACCTTTCCGGCGAGAAGTGGAAGTCCCGGCCGCCGATCAAGGATTTCGGCAATGGAACATACAGATTTTCCCTCCAAATCCACCCGGATTTCTCGGGGGATTACAATCTCACCATAATCCTCTTATTCCAGCATTACGAGGGGTTGAAATTCTCTCCTCAGAGATTCGCAATCGATAAGGTTCTCCGGGTAATCCCGGTCAAGTTCAAAACCGATAAACCCGCGGCGGAGTTACCCGAATTGTCGTGGTGCGGTAAATCCGATTTCGGATCCCGGGTTGTTTGGTCCGGGCGGTGGACCCGGCACGCCAAGAATGACAGCTGTCCGATTAGCCACAGTGGACGGTTCAGATGCCAAGACCCGAACTTTCCCTGCCAAAAACCTTGGTGCGATGGCCCGCTAGGCTCGTTGGAGAGCAACGGGTGGGTTTATTCGACCCATTGTTCGTTCAAATTATATTCGGGTCAAGATGCGTGGAATTGTCTTAGCAACAGATGGATCTTCTGGTGGGGCGATTCGAATCACGTTGATACCATTCGAAACATGCTGAACTTCATTCTAGGGTTTGACATGAAATCCATCCCAAGAAGGTATGATATGAACATAACTAACCCTAAAAATCCATCACAAACAGTCCGATTCACGAGCATTTTCAACGGCCACCACAACGAAACCGCGAACTACCTCGGGTTAAATTCATTATCTAATTCGGATTACAGGGAACTTTTAAAGAGTTATTTCGCCGGAAATGTGGTTCCAGACACTATAATCATGAATTCGGGTTTACACGACGGGGTGTACTGGCGGAATCTGAGGTCCTTCATCGATGGTGCTAATTACGCGTGTGCGTTTTGGGGTGAGGTACTGGAAGGGGTGAAGAGTAGAGGATTGGTCCCGCCGGAGATAATATACCGGACGACGATAACGACCGGGGGATACGCGAGACGGCTGGCATTTAATCCTCACAAAATGGAGGCGTTCAATGGGGTGGTGCTGGATAAGTTGCAGGCAAAAGGCTTGTTGAAGGGGGTGATAGATGATTTTGACATGACGTATGCGTGGCACTACGACAACCGGTGCAACGACGGGGTGCACTACGGCCGTGCCCCGCAGAATTTCCGGTGGCGGGACGGGCAGATCGGGCACCAATACTTTGTAGATTTGATGCTATGCCACGTACTCCTCAACTCCCTCTGTGCAAAATAACATCAGGTCTAGGCTTTGTTAATAGGACGGTTGATCTGATTGAATGTAGCTGGCCTTTTGTCTTCATTTTTGAATGGAAAGGAAAGCTGGCATTGTCTATTCTTTGTTGACTTATTATTGCAATTGTCTAATTGCGCGTATTTGCCTGATGAGGTTTGGCAAAAACTGTGTAAAGTGAACAGATACAAACTACAAAGGTAGTGCACGGATGTGTAAGGAAGAAGTAAACTTTGTTTCGAAAACTCTACGAAAATGATTCGGAAACTCTTAAAACACTTGTTCTTTTATTGAAATCGATGTATCCCGTTTCACGCTTCTCCTTATTTCCCGCGTTTGAGTGCAAAACAGAATGTCGAGTAGGGGTATTAAAATGTCTTCTTCACCACTGTTTTTGTGCTTAGAAAAATGTCGGTTAGCATTGTTCATGTTTGCTACACGTTAATGGTGTGGGATTTGAGAACCCTTCAGCCTCTGTAGGGAGTAGGGACAGCAGCTGGGGACGTATACTTCTATGGCTGGTTTCTATGATCTATTCTATTGAGTTGACTCTATTAGTTAATTCATATTCTCTTCTTTGTAACTTTGTCAAAGAGAAACAATTGCTTAATTTAAGTCTTTTAATTAAGAGGAATGGAGAAGCAATATTAATCATAAATTTGTTATTTAATGGAAAGGTAGCCAAGTTTTAAGAAATCAATTAAATATAAAAAAGACAGCAAAGTATAGTGAAATGGTATAAGTACAAACACACTTACAAAAAAACTTACAAACAGTGATGTAGCTATTCTAATTACCATTGATGTAAAAATGTTGTAAATGTGATGGGATATGTTAAATAATATGACGATGCGCATATTCTTTTTTTAAGATTTTTCATAAGAGTTTTTGGACCTCTAGCTAGTCCTGGACTCGGGCCGGGCGGCCCGACCCGGAACCGGCCCGGCCCGGCCACTGTAGCAACCGGCCCGGCCCGGTGGCCCGGTCCACCGGCGGTTCGGGTCGAACCGGCCCGGTGGTTCCCGGTTCCGGGCCCGGGCCTTCCATATGGTGAACCGGTCCGGCCGGTTCGGGCCCGGGCCGGGCCGGATTTTAATTTTTTTTTTTTTTTGAAAAATTTTTTAAATCTTGGGTTGGAATAGGTATTTTGGGCCATTTGGGGTGGTTTGGGGTTGAGGGGGAGGGGTAGGGGATTAAATAGGAGAACAAAAAAAAAAATAATTGGGCCGGTTAGGCCCGGCCCGGTTTGGCCCGGAACCGGAACCGGAACCGGCCACCGGCGGTTCGGGCCCGGGCCTCCCATTTCCTGGCCCGAGACCCGGCCGGGCCCAGGCCTGAACCGGGCCCGAACCGGCCCGAGTCCAGGCCTACCTCTAGCATAACTCTTTGAGAGGAGGCATTCTAGATTTATACAAAAGTATAGTGAATGAGTATACTTTTTGTATACTCTCGTGTACACAAATAATTGCTATCTTTTTTAAAGTAGTTGATTGTGTACACATGCAAATTTAAAGGGAAAGTCAAATTTATTTACAAACACTTTTTCAGAGTAGCAAATTACACGGGTCATAGGCGGCCGACTAATTCGCTTAATCGGTAAACTATCAGTCTTGATTGTGAGCTGTTAATATGATATCAACGGACCCATATGAGGAAATGCGACAATGCGTACTGTGGCCCCATAATTTTTTTAAACGAGGTATACTTGATCCTTTCTTTAGTGTTAGTCAATATGTATCAGAGAGTATGTAATACTCCTATCAAAATAAGTACGCTTTTGCTTAGACTATTTTTAGTCACAGACCAGACTTAAATAGGTTAAATCAAATCAGATCAGACTTAAACAGGCCATACCTAAATTTCATAGTTATAAAACACACATAGATCAAACATTTACAAGATCAAACCAGACCAGACCAAACCAGATCAGACTTAAACAGATCAGACTAGACCAACAAATTATAGCTTGCCCAAGTAAAAACATCCTTCTTGTCTCATTTTAGTATTCACGTAGTTTAGAAAAATTAGTGTACACTTTAGAAAAAGTAAGTGATTTTTATACTATAGCAATATTGTATTATATATACTTCTTTTCAAAAAAAAGAAAATGAGACCATAATTAAAGTTGATACAAGTTTGAAAAGGAAAGTAGAACTTTCAATACAAATGGGGCTAATGAATGTGTAGTATTATACTCCGTATATGTAAGTAGTCAATAATAGGATCTAGTACTCTTTGCTCACTTAGTACGTGAATTAGAAAAGTAGAAGTTGTGTACTCCAACCCATATTGGTTGTCCACTTTTAATTTGACACGATTATTAATAAAACAGTTAAAAGTAAAAGTTGTGGTTGAGATTTGAATAAAATAAAGTAAAATGATAAGGACCACTTATTTCTTGTCAAAAAGAGAAACAAAACATTCATTTTGGGACAATCCAAAAAGGAAAGTAGGACAACCAAAATGGAACAAAGAGAGTAAAAAATTGTATGAAGGAGAAAAATAATATGAACCATAAATCATTTGCATTAAAAAGAAAAACGAGCTTATATTGAAAGGACGGAAAATGATATTTATTTTAGGACTATAGTAGTACTTTTAATCATTCCATAAAAATAGAAATATTCAAATTATATTAGGGAGTACTAATATACCAATACACTATATTCCACAACTGTTTTTGGACTCTTTTATTACCATACATTGAACTTTAAATACTGAATGTTAAACTTTGTAATAATCAAAATAAACAAGTTCAAAATTACTTTTCCAGTGCATTGACTGAATTTGCTACACATGAGACTTTTTGTCGTTTTCCATATAACTATATCATTTCATTAATACAAAAATACCGCGTACTACGTACTACTCCCTCCGTCCCCTTAAGTTTGTCCCGTTTTACCTTTTTCGTCCGTCCCACTAAGTTTGTCCCATACCATATTTGGTAACATTTGAGTGGTTAGAATTCATTCTTACTTTATTTACACTTTATCAATTCAATACCAACCACACAATTCCACTTTTTTTTAAAAACCACACCACACCCCTCCGTCCCAAACTTAGGGGGACGGAGGGAGTATACTTCATCCATCCCTTGAAATTTTGACAATTTCACATATTTATTCATCTAGTGATAAAATCAAACAAAAACTATAAAAATAATAAAAAATGATTATAACCCGATATAGTGTGCGAAATTTAAAGTGACATATTTAATTTAAGAGTTTACTGATAAGCCGGATAAGTTAAATACAAGGATAATCGATTGGCTCTTATTCTTCTTATTAAGAGAACATTTAAGAGCATCTCCAGTGATACAATGTATACAAAACATATGTGATATAAATGAGATGAACACATATTATTAGTAAATAAAATATTTTTCTCTACAATATCAAATAGTAGCAGACTAAGGATGTTTTCTTTTGGACTGAAATTTGCTGGTCTGGTCTGGTCTGGTCTGGTCTGGTCTGTTTAAGTCTGGTCTGGTCTGGTCTGGTCTGGTCTGTTTAAGACTGGTCTGGTCTGGTCTGGTCTGGTAAACGTCTGGTCTCTGTGTATTTTATAACTACGGAAGTCTGGTCTGGTCTGGTCTGGTCTGTTTAAGTCTGGTCTGGTCTAGTCTGGTCTGTTTAAGTCTGGTCTGGTCTGGTCTGTTTAAGTCTGGTCTGGTCTGGTCTGGGACTGAAAACAGTCCAAAAGAAAACATCCTAATATAATGTCTGGAAGGTGGTTGACATTGTTAACAAAAATCAGACAAATATTATTGAAATAAGTTTAGATGTTGTAGAGAATCTCACATGACTTAAACAGATCAGACAAGACCAACAAATTACAACTTGCCTAAGTAAAACATCCTTATTGTCGCATTTTAGTATTCATGTAGTTTAAGAGAATTATTGTATACCTTAGAAAAAGTAAGTAATTTTTTTATACAATAGCAATACTATATAATTTATTATAGTGTATTATATATACTTCTTTTCAAAAAAGAAAATGAAACCATAAAGTTGATACAACTCGAAAAGGAAAGTAGAACTTTCAATACAAATGGGGCTAATAGGATGTTTTTACTTGGACTGTAATTTGCTGGTCTGGTCTGGTCTGGTCTGATCTGGTCTGGTCTGGTCTGAACTGGTCTGGTCTGGTCTGGTAAGGTCTGATTTCTTTGTATTTTTATAACTATCCAAGTCTGGTCTGGTCTGGTCTGGTCTGAACTGGTCTGGTCTGGTCTGGACTGGTCTGGTCTGGTCTGGTCTGGGACAAATTACTCCGTATATGTAAGTAGTCAATAATAGAATTTAGCACTCTTTGCTCAATGCTCACTTGTTTAAAAAATTGTATGAAGGAGAAAAATAATATGAATCATAAATCATTTGCATTAAAAAGAAAAACGAGTTTATATTAAAAAAGACGGAAAATGATATTTATTTTAGGACAATTGTAGTACTTTTAATCATTCCATAAAAATAGAAATATTCAATTTATATTAGGTAGTTCTAAGATATACCCATACCCTATATTCCATAACTGTTTTTGGACTCTTTTATTACCATACATTGAACTTTAAATTTTGTATGCTAAATTTGTAGTAATCAAAATAAACCGATTATAACCCGATTTAGTGCGCGAAATTTAAAGTGACACATTTAATTTTAAAGTTTATTGATAAACCGGAAAAGTTAAATACATGGATAACCAATTGGTTCTTATTCTTCGTACTAAGAGTACACCTAGGAGAGTCTTCAATGATACGATGTATAGGAAACATATGTCATATAAGAGAGATAAACAAAAAAAATTAAGGAGTAGTAAATAAAATATTTTTCTCTACAATATGAAATAGTAGTAGAAATAGAAATAGTGAAATACTAGTAGACTAAATGGATGTCCCAAAATTAATTTCACACTTCAATACTTTCCTTATTTGATAAATTATCTACATCAAAAAAATGATAAACAGTGTTTAAACAGTGCCAAACAGTGTTTAAACAGTGTCAAACAGTGTTTAAACAGTGCAAAACAGTGCATTCTACAGTAAAGTCAAATTTATTTCCTAAAAGTGTGTGAAAGTCCAACTTGTTTTCGGGACGGAGGGAGTACAATATTCTTAACAAAAATCGACACAAAATATAGCAGACTAGGGTAAGAACTAAGAATGAGACAAATATTATTACCTGTGGGATTGTTGAATCCTAAATTTACCTTTCCTCCATTTCGCAGTTTCGCTTTCTAACTGCAAACCAGCAGTTGTATTACCGAACTCAAAGCTCCTGGAACTCCTTTAACCTTCGGCCAATTGTTTACGAGGGTATCTTGTGTTTTGAGTTTTGACATATCCAAACACTGCCAATCCATAGCTGAGCTACACCTCTTTCACAGCAAGAGAACCCCTAACCGTAAGAAAACTGTCTTGTAGTACTGCACACAAACAGACACCCAAATTCTTCGTGTTTCCCCGAGAAGAAGGAGAATCGTTTGTACTGGTGGTGTTGCGTCTGCTGCTTTGACGTAGGAAACAAAGAATTTCATTTTATCGCTAAATGGGTTCCGATCTTTAACATTTCTCCATTTTGATTATTGGATTTTGTTTTTAGTTCTTATTCTGCGTTCCCGAGATTGAAAATCTG